ATCTCGAGAGTTTGTAACAGAACGATGAAATTTCACGAGATTTTGAAAGTAAAATAGATCGATACCGCGTTTTAAAAAATCAATTTGATATCAGCATATGAAAATATATTTGAGTATATTATTTTTCAAAGTGTCAGAAATTGATAACAAAACTGCTATTTTCAATGACTACTTATTTTTGTCCAGCTTTAACATCGGTATCGCTATCGGTTATCGGCTACATGAGTTTTAAAATATCGGGATATCGGCCAAAATCCCAATATTGTGCATCCCTAATATATATACATTAGGGATGGGACGATTTATGAAAACCGTCAGAACCGTTCGGTTCGACTGTCTCGGTTCGGTTCGCGCGTGTTTCGTTCGGTTCGTGCGCTGCTCCTTTTTCTCATAGGCGAAGCGATTACACTCCAGAGCAGAAGGTGGCGGTACTGCGACCAAAGACAACTACCAGTAGTAAACAAGAAGAAGCGAAGCAGCTTAGCCGGGTGTAGCAGGGGAAAAAAATCAATTGTTGTGGAGAATTGTGTCGGAATGGCGAGTTGGAAAGAACAGGAGTTGGAAGACACGCCAGCAGCACTTTATAGGTCTGCTGTATGGGACCGCTTTGCATTTAGAGTGACCTACGATGGCGGCGGAAAGAAAGTTGTGGATAAAAGTGCAACAGTGTGCGAGCATTGTGCAACACGTTTTGTTTACGCTAACAGCAACATGACCAACATGTCATGCTAACCCCGAAATCCCTCATACTCCGTCAGCAACCCCCGCTCCGCCCCGCTGCGCTCCAGACCGGCTGCTCAAACTAAAGCATACAGCCTCCACTGTGGCTCCCTCCGTCCGCTCCGCTCTGAGTTCCTTGAAGATGGTAGAGCGCATGCGGGAGATGACTAAATTCAAAGCAGCAAAACATACGGAAATGATCCAGGGTTTCCGCAGATCATTTAAAATAATTACAATCCATTATTTTTTGGGGGATTTTTTCATTCCAGAAATTTTTATGGGATTTCGGTGTAACAATCAACATGTATCGAACCGAACCGAAAACCGTGACCAGAAACCGTGAATCGAATCGAACCGTGGATTTTGTGAACCGTTCCACCCCTAATACACACACATATAGCCCAGTTCATTTACTGGGCTGCATAAACTTACGTCATCAACACATGGTGGATAAAAATAAAATAAATAAAAGAAAACATCAAATATAGCTCTTTTCGACTCTTTTGTACTTACCCATTGTACACCGATCTAGTGATTCCAATTTTATGATAGTAACACTGATTACGTCCTCACGCAGAGCACACAGCAGCTAGTGATGATTTACTTTTATCTTCAAATTTTTTTACAGCGGCTATGTCAAAAGACTCCAGACTCTCATCTGCCGACATCACAGTCAGGACTGGGAAGAAATGGCGAGCACAAAAGGGAGACAGCCAAGTAGAATAGAGACCGAGACATAGTGTCTTAGTTGGCTCTGTGGCAGTTGGACGAGCTGGTCTAGGTAGCCACACAAAGCAACACTATGACCAAGCCTGAAGACAAGAGGAACGATAGATGGTACAAGGAGAGACTCTTGCAGAGGTGGAGAAGGAACGCCAAAGTAGGATAGTGGCAATGTGCCAGCAAGAAGCCTGGGCCAATTGGGACCATTCATCCGCCCGGATTATCACCTGGACAGAACTATGGAGGTATGAACCAACAAGACTTAAGTTTCTGATCCAGTCCGTGTATGATGTCCTTCCAAGTCCATCTAACCCTTATACCTGGGGCCTTGCAGAAGCACCAACATAACCACTGTGCCCGGCTCATGGCTCCATGGAGCACATCCTAAGCTGCTGCCTTAAAGCGCTGGGAGAGGGAAGGTACACGTGGCGCCATAACCAGGTGCTGTACGCAGTAGCAGACATCATCTGCACTGGAATCCAGGAGTCAAAGCACCAGCCTCCTTTGAGGCACAATATCTTCATGTCAGGGCAGGAGAGATACCTGAGAGAGCAATTAAGGGCACAACTGGACTGCTAGCCATGGCTCGGGATTGGCAGTTGCATGTAGACCTCAGAAGGCATTTAAAGGTCCCAGAGCACATTGCAAGGACGTCACTGAGGCCAGATCTGGTGTTAACATCTGACTCGACAAAGCAAGTTGTATTACTGGAGCTTACAGTCCCCTGGGAAGACAGGATGGAGGAGGCTCACGAAAGGAAGAAGGTGAAATATCTTGAGCTGATTGAGGCATGCAGAGGTCGTGGATGGAGGGCCCGCTGTTAGCCAATAGAAGTGGGCTGCAGAGGCTTCCTTAGACTGTGCATCGTGCATTCAGGCTCCTTGGCATCAGAGGGTTGCTTGAGAGAAGAGCCACCAGAAACATCAGTGAGGCTGCTGAAAGAGCCTCAAGGTGGCTGTGGATCAAGAGGGGAGATGCATGCAGTAGAGAAACTGGGGTCTAATCAACCCCACTTGGGTCGCCCAGGCGAGGGTGTCTGAAGATCAAGGACCCGAAACAGCCTATGACCCTGGGTCCTTCACTGATGATGTGTTCAAGCTGCACTGGCTAGGTGTTTCAAAATCTAACTCAAGCATAGTGCCTTTACACACATGGCAAGGTATACGATTAATACATTTACACGTAATATCAGTATCGGCCAATACGCTCAGCCCAGGGCTTGACATTAACCTTTTTGCTCATTGCCCACTGCGGCTAGTGGTTTTCCAAAGTTACTAGCCACTCTGCATTTTCACTAGCCACTATTTTACCATGGCCTAATTTGCACAGTTGGAAGATAAATATGACCTTTTAAATTCTGATTTCTTTTGCCATCTTCAGATACGACACTTTTTCGCTTCACAACTGCCCAAATTCTCAACTACCATAGAGACAGAAACCATTGATGAAATTTTGTTGCTAAATCCATCAAAGAAAGGTCTAATTTCTAAATTGCACAACATTCTGCTGGATCTTACCCCTCTGTGGATAAATCCAAGATGGCTTGGGAAGAAGATATAGGTCTCCCCATACCTGATGACACCTGGTCTTCTGCTCTTGGGCTGGTCAACTCATCTTCATTTTGTGCTCAGCACCGGTTGATCCAGTTTAAGGTGGTACATTGGGCCTATATTTTTAAGGCTAAGCTATCATCTACAGTATGTACCCTACAGTCAGCCCACTGTGCATCAGATATACTCTTACGGAGGCCTCTCTTTACCATATGTTCTTCTCATGTCCTCAATTAAGCAACTACTGGAAGGCAGTCTTTAATACATTATCTTGCACATTAAACACCAAACTGGAACCAAATCCAGTTGCAGCCCTATTTGGGGTCCTTGAGGGCGGAGCTGTTTCAAGTGCTACTAGAAAATATTCTATAGCCTTTGCTTTACTTTTGGCACATCGTGCAAGCTTACTCAGATGGAAAGATGCCTCCCCACCATCTCATTCACAGTGGCTGCAAGATATCATGTCTTGTCTAAAACTCGAAAAGATCAGGTACTCACTTAAACAGTCTCTTGTTACATTTGAAAATTTGTGGGGCAATTTTTTGAAAACATTTCCAGCTCTTTAATAGCTCAGACATGCTCAACTGTACCGATTCTACCTTAGGCGGGTCCTGAATGTTGTGGAGTGATGATATAGTTTTGGCAGTGTTAGGTGATGGGGAAGGGGTTATTTTGTTTGTTCTATTGTATTATATCTTTGTGCTTCACTACTTTACTTGTTTTACTGTAGTTGTCATGCTATTTTCTCTAGTGAAATCTATATTTCTTTTACTTTAACAAACTTTTGTATGAGCAACTTGTTCAACTGGCTTCTATAAGCTTACCTTGCAACACCTTATAACTTTGCTCTGTTTTTTGTTTATGTAAAACTCAATAAAAATGTATGTTTAATAGGACTATGGCATGAACTGTCAAAGGTGTGCTCTACCTCTAGCTTGTAGGCAGCTGGTGATAAGCACCAACACCCCCTTGCGACCCAGCTTGGGATAAGCATGAGAGAAAATGGATGGATGGATGACTATAACACGCCTAGGTTTATTTGAATTAGATTTACAACTTATGAAAAATAAATGATACTTGTACACATTTTTATAAAGTAGGGCATTAATTCATAAAAAAGTTTATTTGAATTTTATAAATCAAAGTTTTCTGTCAAACAGCAACAATGAACGGCATGGCAATATTCTATACCAAGAAATTGTAGTATCTAGGCAAGAGCTGTCAGTCTGGAAAAGAATCTGGTTGTTATTCAAAACTTTAAAGGGTAACTTTTTTTGTCCCCAACATAAAACTGACTAAAACTAGACTGAAACCATTTTTAAGTTTTAGTCGACTAAAACCGACTGAAGCCATCCCATCATATCGTAATGAAGATTAACAATAGTTTTCGTCCTGAAGACTAAAAGTTGGGCGTCAAAAACAACACTGCCCTTGTGACTTGATCGTATCCTGCTGTTTAAGCAGAGCTATGAGTGTCAACGAGCCAATAATGAGCAGTAATCATAACTGTTTCTTTTTTTATATAGCATTAAAAAAAAATATATATATATATATTTAAATATAATATATATAAATAAATATATATATATCTAAATGTATAACTCCTTAAGTGGCATAGTTTTAGCTTCGCCTAGTTTAATCTTTAGTTTTAAATCTTTAAGGAACCATGAACTATCCAAATATTCACTGGAAAAAAATAATCGACTCATTAATGCATTAACAAAATAATCATCAGTTGCAGACCTAGGGCTGAGTCCAATGTGTTGTTTTTGAACATACAGTGTGAGCAGTCAGAACACCTCAGAGCATCAGGTCATACAGTGTAAAAACAGATATGAACTGAGAAATTTAAACCCTGCAGTTTAATCATAGAGTTTCAGCTGTAGTGGAGTGCAATGATTAAAAATATCAGAGTATATGCCTGCCCTCTGGCTGGGCATTGTCTCCTACTGCATTCAATCCTACTGAGTTCTGATAAAAAAAAAAACAAAAAACAAAAACACTCACTTGTGGTTGGTCTTGCTGTTTGAGCTTGACTTTCCTCCTATCATGGGGATTCTCCTGACTATGACAGAGGATCCTTTGGGTATGTGACCATCATCTTCCGTGAACTCTGAGGGTGAAACAGGATCAACATAATGATTAAAAACAAAACTATAAAAATGTAAGTATTAGCGGTTTTAAAAAAAATCTGTCCTTGAGCACTGCAATTTGGGTAAAGATACAGACCAATCTGAAATACAATAAAGCCTTTCAGCTTAATGCACGGTTTATTTGTGCTCTTTGAAGCGAAGTAAGAGCAGCACAACAGAATGAAAGATGGATCCCTTTATTAAAACTGATCAACCCGGACTTTAATCTATTGTGCATAAATAGTAAAAAAAAAAAAAAAGAGAGAGAAATGAATTTCAGCTCAGTCAGCTTTTTTTTTTTTTTTTTTATTGTCATTTTCTACATATGTACAAGACATACAAGGGAAATTAAATTACGTTTACTCTCTGCAATATACAAATATACAAGAAATATACAAGACTGACATTCAAAAACTGACATAAAGTGCGGGACATGACAGGTAACAGTGGTAAGATAAATATAAATATGAAGTATAAACATTACAATAAAAAGCAATAAACGGCAGCAATAGTTTGTTCCAGCCTGAGGTAGTGCAGGTAAAGTGCAGTCTCTGGTACAGTGTATGTGTGGGTGTGTGTGAGAGAGAGAGAGAGGGAGAGAGAGAGAGAGACAGAGAGAGAGGGGCAGTCTTAGCTTCCTGTCTGCCTGGTGGCTGGAGCAGACCGTGTGGGGAGGGGGTGGAGGGAGTTCAGCATTCTGATGGCCTGGTGGATGAAGGTGTTCGCCAGCAGGGTGGTTCTGGACCGTAGGCTCCTGTACCTCTTTCCGGAGGGCAGGAGACGGATCAGGTTCTGTGCTGGGTGGGTGTCATCCTTCAAAATTGTGAGGGCTTTGCGGGTGAGGCGGCTGAATTTGTTGCATATTGCAGTAATGGAGTAGCCTGGGTGCCATTCCGAACTTAGTCCCGCCCAAAAAGTTTGAGGTCGGGGAAGTTCGGTCTGGCTCTGCTCCATAGTAGCACGAGTATTATCGCCCACTGTCAGGCGATCCAATCAAATTGTCAGGGCGGGCTTTATACGATGATGGACAGATGACAAACAGTAACGTAATCAACCACGTGACCAATGCGCGCTTGGGTGACAACAATAATGGCTGCCGCTGGAGAGTTTAGGTGAGTAGATTCTGCTATTAGGTCTGTTCTAGAAGATATCGACAGCAAATTAATTTTAAAAGAGGAACAGAGAAACGCGATCAAGTCTCATATTCTTATTATAGGCGTGCAACTGCACGCTTTGATTTTTGTGGACAACAACTATGCCTCGCTTAACATACGTCACGCACTCCGTTGCTCTTATTGGTTGTAGATCTATCCAATTGAGTGCAGAGGCATTTTTTTTCCTGGTTCGTTCGAAACACGCCCCATAATCACAGCTCTATGGAGCAGTATCAGACTCATATTCTGCCTAGAATTGAGTCGGACTACGTCAGGCTAGTAATGGAGGGCTTTAGGTGGTTAAATAAAGAATAGAGATGCAAATTATTAATTAGTCGAAAGTTGATTTTGATCTTATCAATGGAAATAATGACTAATTGATGAGCTCCATTTAACAAAACAACTTTTCTCCTGTATCAAGGGCTGAATGTTTTTTTTTTTTTTTTCACAATATGCTGAATTTAAACAAAAGTAGTGAAATATATTTTAACAATTTATTGTGCTAGCTATATTAAATACTGACCGATTAAACCAAAAATTATGTTTTATATCATTTGAGGTCTTTCTACACCACCATTCTGATTCCCATTTTTGGGTTTGAGACTGGGAAAAGGAGCACGATATCTAGTCTGGGTCTGAGCTGGCAGATATTCTGAGCTCTTTCTAGACTTCATAACTTTTGGAGTGGGGCTCATCAGCTCATCAAGAGAATGCCAAGAGTGTGCGAAGTAGTAATAAAAGCAAAAGGTGGCTACTTTGAAGAACCTAGAAGACATATTTTTAGTTGTTTCACACTTTTTAAAAAAAAATTATATAATTCCACATGTGTTAATTCATAGTTTTGATGCCTTCAGTATGAATCTTTAATTTTCATAGTCATGAAAATAAAGAAACTTTTGGTCTGTACTGTGTGTGTGTATTTATATATATAAGCAATTATGAAATAAAATTAATACATGCAAGAGTCTATAACATTACAAAAGTTGTAAATATAAATGGGACATATTGAGGCTTTTTGATGGACCATTATGGGGACTCTTGAACTAAGGGCAAGTTACGAAAGAAAATGATTTATTTTGAAAATTAACTGAATTTCTTATTTTGTTTCTGAGCAAAACTTCCTGTCATGCGCAATCGGCTCTTTGCCATCTTGTTGCATTGTGCTTCAGCAGCCGGAAGAAATATAAAACAGTTCAACATCTACCACTGAGAAATCAACGCGATCTATACAATATACTAGGGGTGGAATGGTTCACAAAATCCACGATTCGGTTCACGGTTTTGTGGTCATGGTTTTTTCGGTTTGGTTCGGTATATGTTGATTGTTAGGAAAATCTACTATGTCTTGTAAAGTACAACGCGTATGTATAAACACTGTGAACGTTGAATTTAATATGACATATTTAAAAAAAATCCCCATCATCATCCAGCAGATGTTCAGTTTCTGCCTAAATATTTTCTTTCTGTTGTGGATTTTTGTAACAGGAATAACTAGGATAAAACATAGTTTGTATGAACTATGTTTGTTCTCTGCTTCCAAACTCATCATCTCTTCATTCATTCCCACAATAAGAATTTTCTTTTAAAGTTGTGAGATTCGCTCTAGAATATCACAACTTCTTCCTGGTCTGTTGAAGCACCAATAGTCTGCATCCAATTATTTAATTAATTGCTCTTAGTTTTTGTATTATATACAAACTATGCTCTAATTTCTAGTTACCGGTCTGTTTTTACTATAATTTAATTTGAAAAACCGGGTCCTCTCTACATTCTTTTTCCTGTTTGGTGCGATTGCAATTGCGGGTCTTGATCTGGACTGACCGGAGCGGAGCAAAAAAGAGCTCAGTTCCATATTTTGACGGTGAAAGACGGAGAAGACATACGAGGACAGAGAAGTAGCGGACGTACGTGAGCATAGCGGAGCGCTGACGGAGTATGTGAAATCTGGGGATAAAGGATGACAAATACACGTAGGGCTGAATGCGGCGCAGGATGCCGGACAGTGCAATGAAAATCCGGACTTTCTGCCCTAAAACCGGACATCTGGCCACCCTACTTCCAACTCCTGTTCTTTCCCACTTGCCATACCCACACAATTCTCCACAACAACTGATTTTTTTCTGCTACACCCGGCTACGCTGCTTCTTCTTCTTGTTTACTACTGGTGGTTGGCTTTGGTCACAGTACCGCCACATTCTGCTCTGGAGTGTAATCGCTTTGCCTATGAGAAAAAGGAACAGCGCATGAAACAAACGAAACACACGCAAATTGAACCGAGACAGTCGAACCGAACAGTTCGGACAGTTTTCATAAACCGTTCCATCCCTACAATATACTGCATATATTTTTTTTTTTTGAAGCCGTTGCTCTAAAATAGTTATTCCATGCATTTAATTAATATGCAACCTCATCTACTGTGTGCCTCTATTAACTGCCTTTAACTTGAATTGGATAACTTCAAATTGATTTAGTTTCAGTTCACGTTAAAATACCTCCTGGAACTATAAGAAAGGTTTTATAAAAGTTATCTTAAGTTTTAAATGTATTTGCAATATTTTTATATCATTTTCTGTCTAATATCCATGTACCTATAATATGAAAATTATGTGGTTACTTCATCGCCCCCAGCACCCCCACCCTCATAAAAAAACCCTGCCATTTCAGACGGGTCCATTGAAGACCACAAAAACAATTAAGGCTGGAAGTGATCAGCTGTGATTGAGACAGTCTAGCCTTCAGCATAACTAATGTGTAATCCACCAGTGTAACCCTGACATCATAACGCATGGACCGATGAAGCCCAAACATCCTTTTAAAACAGCATTTATTCAAATATGCATATTATTAATCAGAGGAAAACACAGATTTTAGAAAACACAAATTAATATGGCATCATTGTTATTACTGGTCTTAGAGAAAAATAAGTGTAATAAACACCATATAACAAAGGTTAAGTTAAAACCTGCAAAAATTATTTGGATAAAGATAATGGGTCTTTATTTTCATTTTTAATGGGAGATGTCTGCTACAGGTCAGCGCTCCAGCATTTAGTGTTATGATGTTTTTTAGCGACACTACTAACAGGGTTTTAAACATTTAAATCAGATTGGATCGAACTTTTCCCTTGTCTAACAGGGTAGGGACAGTAGGGACACTACTAACAGGGTTTTAAACATTTAAATCAGATTGGATCGAACTTTTCCCTTGTCTTGAGTTTGAGAACAGTCTTAAAGTCGTAGGGAAGTCATATTTAAATTTCAAATCATTGTGGCTTAAAAATATATATATAAACATACTCTTTATCAGACCATATTGTCCCAAAAGTTAGAAAATTTCTATAAAAAAAAAAAAAAATCTTGTCTTAATATCTGTGGGGTTTTTTTTCGTTATCTTATGCAGGCCAGTTAGTTATACGTCAGCTTGTTCACCTAAATTCGGCCAATCATATATCAACGGTCATCTGTCAAATTCTTTTGGTCATATGATCTTGATTTATATGTCGCAGCTAATATACACAACGATTGGAATAAGAATAATTTACTTTACCATTGAATTACGTCCCAGTGTTGACAGGGATGGACATCTGTGCTTCTGCAGGCGTAGAGCTAACAGAACTGGCAGTTTTGAGAGGCAAGGGCTCAAACATGTACGACTGTAAGCCTTCTACACCAAACCAAGCTTCTACCACCCTGGCGTCCTCTTCCACAACAAGTTTGTCCCCGCTTTCCTCCTCAAAATAAAAAATGTATGATGAAGGAGACTCATAAAGGACGTCCGACACAAAACTCTCCTCCTCATGCATGTTTTGCTGTCCATAGTATTCCTTG